AATTTAATTTAAAATAATAAAAAATGATCTGTCCGGTAGATACATACTTGTAATAAAAATAATTAGGAAAAAAAGGAAGATAAGAAAAATCTCTAATAATATATATATAAAATAATCCTGAAAAACATTCGCCTCGATCTTGGTAAGAAGAGAAGGATAAGAGAGCATCGCGTGCGTCTCCGTCGGTGCACGCGTGCACCAGCGGGCACAAAGAATTTGAGTTGGGGTAAGGTTAGTGCCGCACGCGTGCATGCTAGCGTGTCTGTCACGCATGTGCGTACGGAAACAGAGCGGAGCGTGTGTTTCCTCCTGCACTGCCGTGGGGCTTGCTCCAACTTGGGCGACCACGTTTCCTTTCGGTACAGGGCGCACAGTGACCCCTTTCCATCCTCTTCTGCGTTCAGAGTTTTGGGCATTAAAGTTGAAAGTTGGCTTGAAAGTTACTTGAAAGAGTAATTGGTTAAAAAATTTCGAATAAAATCACTTTTAAATAATTACTTATTAAAAATTGTTCAAATATAACATTTATTCGCGGTTATTATAATTTTGATACGTTTTTCATATAACTTCGGCCATTACTTATGCTTTGAATGATAAATTATCGAAATAACTTTCATTCGTAACTATTAAATTTTGTTCACCACTGGTTAAGGTTAAGTTTATTTATCAAGCGATTGGAACGAGATGGAAATGGATATTTTCAAGATTTTTAGAATAAAATGATCCCAAAATGTATTTATTATGTTGTTCGGAAAATTTCGTTTTTCTTCATGATGAAACCAAGTCGTTTCATGTGATCATGAACAGTCGAATTCAACAAATTCAATCTAGTAGCAATTTCTCGAGTTGTTATTCGTCGGTGCCTTTATTTTGTTTTCATCAGCTTTAACTAAATGTGAGGTCTTTTCGATAATAAAGTAAAATATGTCGAAAATGAATTCTTTTGATTTTGTTATCACGCAAGAAAAACATAACCGCACAGAATCAAACAAAATTTTTCTTATAAATAAAACCATGAACTCTCAAAACATATAATAACAACACGGTTTAGAATGAAGTTGGCTGGATAAACGTTCGACTAGCGACACTCGTGTGAAAAAACGAAATTACTTTCCGAACAATATAAATGTGCTATTGCACGTATAAAGCATTGAAAAAGTAACTCAGAGAAAGTTAAAATTTCGAATAAACTTACTTTGAGTAATTACTTATTAAAATGCTCGAATAATATTTATTCGCTTTTCGTATAACCACTTGGCATTATTTGCGATTATTATTATGTTTTGAACGATAAATTATCAAAGTAACTTTATTCGTAATTTCGACTATTAAATATTCCCCATTAATTGGGGATATTTATTTATCAAGTTGTGATTGGATGAGATGGAAAATGGATATTTTGCATTCGTTTCGAGATTTCTGGAATAAGATGATCCAAAAACTATTAAATTTTTCCCATCACTGATGTAAATCGGTTACACATGTAGTCAATCCATCCGAATAATCCGGATCTTCAATAACGCAACAAACTTACGTATTATACGGACGAATAATCGTTTATCGTGGTTGATGATCGTTTCGTTGCCGGGTATAAGTAATGTTTTAGTGTAACACCGTGAGAAATTGTATTTGTGCAAAGAAGAAGCAAGGATGATGTCTAATGGAAAAATGAATTTTGTGATTTCTAGTGTTCACATAATAGATGTTGATATTGAAAAATTGAAAAGTGAAATTGAAGAGAACTGAGGAAAGAGAGAAAAGGAAATTGAATTGTTTGGTGTTGATAATTGTTCATTGAATTATTTGTAGAGTCGACTGAGGGGGGATGTCGAGTTATGGACGAAATTGTCGCTTGGAAACTCATGACTATAAAATAGAATGGGTTTATTTAAAGGGTGATAAATAAGTTTTGAAATGGTACAATAGAATAGGATGCAGGAAAGGTTTCGAGCAAGGGGACGGGAAGTGAGAGGAGGCGAGAAGCGGAGACGAATGTGCGTAACACGTGCCGGCCAAATGTCAACCTTTCCTCCTTTTCTTCTTCTTTTTTTTTCTGTTCTGAAACAAATCAACGAACGAAACGAAAAGCGGCCGCATCTTTCAACGTTCGAACGTATGGCACGTGACAGCACGAGCCACGGGAGCGAGCCAGTCTTCCTCGAATTTAGAAGGAACGAGACGTTGTTTCGTCATTTGCGTGCTTTGTCCCGATGAAAAACTGCTAACGAAAATTGCATATTTTCGTTAAACTTATGGATAATTTTATTATTAAAATGAGCCAATTTCTAGTGATTCAGAATTCTTCTTCGTCTCAATAAATCATGAATAATTTTACTATTAAAGTGAACATATTTCCAACGATTCAGAATTCTTGATTTTTCTTCTTCCTCCATTATCCATATATCATGAATAATTTTACTTTTACAATTCACACACGTTCGAAATTCTTGATTTTTCCTTCCTAATAATTCGCGAATAATTTTAATTTTTTTTATCAGAGCATTTGTAATTCGAAATCTTCTATCGAAACGAATGAATTTTTCAAAGATTCGAAATTCTTGATTTTCCTTTGTTCCAACAACTCGCGAATAATTTTCTAGCAGAGTGATTTTGATTTTCCTTTGTCCTAATAACTTAAAAATAATTTTCTAGATTAGAGCAAGCTATTTATAATTCTTTTTGATTTTTCTCTATCACGAATAATTTTCTATCGAAATTTTTTATCTCCCTAATAAATAAATAATTTTTCTATCGCAACAAGCGTTTCGAATTTCTTCGAAATTTCTCTTTCGTTTTGAATTTTTTCTTCGAATCGAATAAAATAAAAAAGATACATCGATACAGGGAGGAAGAGAAATTTCAGCGAGAAAACAAAGGGTTCCATGAGGTCGCAGGAAGGCCGAAGGAAGCTCTCCAGAGCTTCCTTCGTCGAAAGCCAGGTTTCCAAGACAATGGCCTTAACAGCTGTAAGCAGAAGGTACCGATAATCAGCGGCGTCTTCGGCGGAAGCAAGACGAATGCATAATGAGCTTCACGCATTCACTCACGTTTTCGTGCCCTCCTCCTTCTCCTCCTCTTCTTCCACTCCCGCGCCTCATCATCCAACCAAAGGGAGAAATTTGAATTTCTAATGACGCACGAGGTTGGGAGAGGATTATCCGCGAACAAAACACGTCTCGCCTTCTCTCCGTCCATCTTCCGTTCGAATTAAACTGGATAAAGGCAAACTCGTTGCCTTTCAACGAGTATATTCGATTCTCCGATCGAATCTCTCTCTCTCTCTCTCTCTCGTCTCGCCCAACACTTTTCTTCCCGAAAAAAAAATGAAAATGAATTTTCAAACCTCGACGTATCATACAAATTAAATATTTGATCGATATACTTTTCTTCCCGAAAATAAAATGAAAATGAATTTTCAAACCTCGACGTATCATGCAAATTAAATATTTGATCGATATTTAAGTACGATGTATTTAATAAAACGTATATACTCACCACCCGTCCGATATTACGGGATATCGGATTGTATCGGAACAAAATGCTACAAGGGTGTTGTAGCAAGTAAATGGACCGTGTAATACAGGTCGCGCGAGCGCCTCGTAAACCTTTTGAAACATCGAAACGCAGTTAAAACGGGAGAGGGCAACGAAGTGGGAACGAGACAAAAGGGTCGATCCTTTCTTTCTCAGCAGACCACCAATAGTAGCACAAGTGGCGCAAAATTAATTTTCGAGCTGTTATAATCGAGGGTAAAAGCGCGAGCTCGGTCGTGGAAAGATGAGTGAATATACCGTAGCACAAGTTCATGGGAGTTGGAAACGTTGAATCGAGCGAAACGTATGTATACACGAAACTGTGCCATCATGTTCCAGTGGCAATAAGCCTCTCGGCTTTTTTTCTAATTACGTCCTCGCTCGAAAGTTGAATAGAACGCTCCGCAATTCTTGTAAAAATGAGAGAGAGAGAGAGAGAGAGAGAGAGAGAGAGAGAGAGAGAGAGAGAGAGAGAGAG